TATGATATTCATTCACTCACTTACTCACTTGCACTCTTGCTTAATCTCTTGCACATTCTCTCACTATCTCACTCCCTTACTCTCTCCCTCATTCACTCACTCTAACTTTCTCTCACTCCCTTACTCCCACTCTTAAATCTAAAAATCCCAAACTAACTCTCATATCATCACTCTCTCTCACTCCCACGCATTCACTATCTTACTCTTTCACCCTCTCACTCACACAACAATGCAATTAACACTTGTGGAATAAATTTAACAGGAAGGTTTATACAGGATATAAAATATATATACATACATAATATATAAACATATACATACAAAAAAAAAACACACCCACACACATCCACACACCAACACTTACACATACACCCACACCCACATCCACACACTTATATTTAAAGAAGAAGCAAAAATCACTCAACACAGATACATTGTAACTAAAAGAGCATTATCTGAACCCATATTCTTTTTTAACACTTTTTTTATGAGCAAAGAATACGTACAATACACAAACACTGGCAACCACGATATAACTATACCCAACAATATCTTTACAACAAATTGCTTGTAGGAAAATAATATTCATGAAAAAAGAACTCACCACTTTTGTTTTCCTTGCCTGAATGATGCAGCAAAGATATATGAAATATTGTCAATTACATCATTTTTTTAGAAGGAAAAATATCTTATTCAAAGCAAAACACAAATTCCTAAAAGTTAAAAAGAAAATTGTTGACAGTCAACATTTGAAAGAATGCAACAAAAATGAAATCCTTCTTTCACAAAGGACTTAGGAAAATTATAAAAATAAAGATAAAGTATGCCTAAAAAATACAGCATTCAGCTATTTTTCAACAATGTTAATTGGAATGTTTGCATATATGGATAATTTTATCTGTGTAGCTCTTACCATTCATTTCAAATCTGAATAAATACAAACTATAGGGAAATGTTTTCTTACTTCAGGAAGCAATGTTAAAGATCAAATGATTTCATAAAACCATGAGAAAATTAATGATAAAAGAACCAATAACTAATGCATATATATAACATTGTTATACCAGTCTGTATAATTATTAAACTGTTATACATACAGTTATGGTACAACTTACCATTTTTTCTTTAGTGTCCTTAACATATGATGAAATGAGATCATGTAAAAAGAAGAAATTCTCAGCATCAACAGCAACAAAAATGTGATCCTGGAATTCAGTCACAAGAGAACACTCCACCTTGGGTTTTTCATCTGCAAAATGAGAGACATTAATTGTATCTGCTTTAATTCCAAATACTGTAAATCTGCCTCCAGCAACACTTATTACATAAATGCCTTTGTTTATTATTCCTTTGTTTATAGATCTTGGTGCAGTATATCAAATTAAATTTATAGACTTTGGAAATTGGCAAAAAAGAATGAATGGCCATGCACCAAAAGAGATAATAACATTGCAAAGAAAAGGCAAAGGGTCTTGACACTACAAAACACACCCAGGAGTAACTACACAACACACCCATCAAGTAACCCTAATGCCTGGATTATGGCCCATGTTTGGGCCACAAGGCACCCTGATCTAACAGGTTAACACTTTGTATGAAGTAGCTAGGGACATAAAAGAATATAATCTGCTAATTTGTGACTTCAAAAAAAGCTGGCTTCTTGCAAAGAAAATCAAATACTGGCATGCAGTAAATGTATTTCTATTCTCCAACTCCTGATGCCCTATAAACTACAGTCAAAAGTTGTTTTAGATATTCTCTTAAATTGGAATTTATGATCTGTATAATTTGTCAAAAATAAAACTTCTACTTGCCCATAAAGTCTGGTGTGGTTGCTGTCTGTAAATGTTTGGTTGTGAGATGAATCTGCATTGATGGTAGAGCAAACACAGTCTCTGACGAGTGGTTGTGGTCTTGGAGTCGTGTGGATGCTCGTTTTCCCTCAGTTGAAGAGGATGGTAAACTATCGCTTCGATCAAGAGATGGGAAACGGTCCACATCTGCAGGAAACAAAAATATAACATATGTAATATAAATATGACATAAGCAATGTAAACAAATAATCATATTGAGATTTCTTTTTTTAAATATGAACTACTTTAGTTAAAATACACCACAAAAATATTTCAACTAAAAACTGTTACTTACTGTCTAGTTCAGATGTACAGAATGCATAGTGGAACCATTCCTGTATTGTGCGGAATTGAGGAGGGAACACCATATTCCTAGTAATGCGACAAACTGTTGCCATGGAGACATGCTGAGCATGAGTCTGCTCCATGACTCCTAAACTGAATGTCAAGTTCTGTACAATGTGTGTATCACGTGGTGCTGTAAATGACAATAGAGTGTCATTACTGATGGTAGGCAAAATCACATATAAACATAAATTATTTAACAATTATTAAGACTGATGTAAGGTTAAAAGGAAGGAAGGATTAAAAGAAAGCAAAGAAATAGTTGTTCATTTCATTATCTTCACTGTCACCTACTTATAATAAATAAAATGAGAAATTACCAACTTAATGGTTTGGCCATCATGGTTTCGAAAAGGAAATTACAAAGGAAAACATATTGTTCAAGTGTATGTTCATTACCACCATTCATCTACACGATTTGCAACTATTCAGTATACATTCAATAGGATACTCACGGTCTCCTGGCACTTCTTGAACTTCAGAGGTAAAGTTGATATATGGTTCCTGAAGACTGAACAAAGCCCATGATTTGCTCTTGAAATTTAACCCATGGAAGCAAGCAAGGGATATAGTTTTCCCATGCAGCTCCAAAGATCCTCCTAGGACGGTCCCTGAGTCTGGCAAGGGCAGTGGTAGAGTAGTCAGTCTCAGCCCAGACACTCTGTGTAGGACCCCCTGCCAGTGTCTATGATGGCGTGCATCCTGACCACTTGGCATTCCAAGAACTGTAAGAATGGAAAACAGTTAAAGAACATGTTTCATTGCCATATGCTAAAGTATAGTAAAAAACACGGAAAACAATCTTTTATTCTAATGCCTTTAACTCACCATTAGCCATTTTGCGGTTCCCATCCTTATGCCTGTGCTTGACTGAAGACTTGTGTCTTGTTGGTTGGAGAGATGAAAAGACACGTTTGCTTGACTTGAACTGCTGTGAAAAGAATTCATCCAGTTTATGGTGCATCTTCAGCAAGTCAGCTGTGGTGGATTTACTGATGATCAATTGCAGCTGATCCCATTCTAAATCTCCAAGGATGAAGATGGTTGCCCCTCTGTTGAAGAAAAGCATAAGCTAACTTAACAAACATGTCAGCACTATAATATTGAATATAATTTCACTTCATTTCTGAATGTGCCTGTAACGTATTGGAATAAACCATTGCATACCTTCGAGTGGTATCCTCATCCCCTTCAGCACATTGCTTCAGCTTCCACTCGTCCCGTAATGTGACCCCAAAGGATGAGACTCGCCCCATCAACACACTGGTGCCCATGTAATCCAGACGGGACTGTGATGCAAACAGCTTTACTCCAATGGTGTGGTCTGGCTCCATCCCTGGATCTTCCCTTATTTTTACTGGCAATAGAAATACATACCTAATGAATACCATCTCATCCATAATCCCACATACGGTTCATAATTTTCATCAAACAAGGTAAAGTCAGAAATATATTTTCAAAAAGTCAATATTTATTGCAACAACCCCCAAACATAGTGCCTGACAAACCATGTATAACAGGAAATCGTACTTACAGTACATATTGATTTCCGAGAGTTCAATAATGCCACCAACTATTCCACCCTTGGCATCCAGACCAGAGCCACCAAGACCAAGACCTATGTACATGTTCTTGTGCCCAGTGCTGCCTATGGAAAGTCTTCCATCTGCCTTGAAGTCTTTAGTTGTCCATCTGGAAGTGAAAACAAGAGAGCAATTAAAAAGCAGGGAAGAATAAT